CAGGCTCTTTCCATCATCACTAGGAGCGGGGAAGGCCTCAGAGCCGGGCCCTGGGCCAGGTTAGTAAGACTTTCCATGAGGAAAGCACCGTGTCCTCCCCCAGAGCAGCCCAGGCTCAGGAAAGAAGGGGGGACGCGGGGGACGCACAGCCAGACACGGGGCAGACATGGTCCTGGCCGCCTGCTCCACCTGCCTGCTGTTCTAATGACATCTAGACTTGTGGAAACCCGAGAGCCCCTGCAGGGGACCGAAAGGGCCGACCGTGGCCGAGGCCGCAGGGCGGGCGGGGCACGACGCGGAGGGGCTGCTACGGTGGCAGACAAACCGACACCCCGGGAGCCGTCGCTTGGGTCGCAAAGGGGGATCCTCATGTCAGCAAAACGGGGCCGCTTCACGTTAACGCTGGCTGGATAAACTCTGCGAGCTTCAGGGACGTTCACAATGGCTTTCCAGCAGATGTGCGCAAGCGGCACACAGACTACCGTGCGCGTGTGTGTGAGCCGCCCACATTCACACGTGTGTCGGTCAAGGACAACCCATCACCCGGAGAGGGGTGCTGCTGTGCGGTCGCGTAGCTCAGCTCTGCGAGGGGCAGGTCCCAAAAGTCACACCACGGAAACGGCTCATGTGTGGCTTTTATGACACATTTCATCTACATTCAAAATAAGTGAGGCCCATAAAGCTAATTTTTAAAAGAAAAGCTACGCTGTGGTACTGCCACGATCGAGAAGTCCGAATGGAGAGCATGTTTCACGAATATTGTTGAACTAAAGAATAAATCATAATGGGAACTATTTATGGTCCAGACACTTTTGAAACAAAACCGAAGAGTAGAAACAACTAAAAAAAAAAGAAACCCTATCGACAAGTTGGGGTTCATCTGAGGCGAGTCCTCGTGCACTCGGATTGCTCCTCGAGCTAAATGGAGACTTGGGACATGCGTTAACCTGCCACATCTGGGGAGTCACTCCGCAGACTGAGCAGGTGGCTCCCGCGTAAGGCACGGCTGCTTTGCGGTCTCTAAGTGGTTCATTTACGCACCCCAAATGCCCCAGGCTCTCTGGAGCTGGACATAATATCCTATTATTGCCTTTTTCATTCTACGTTCCTGGATAGCAAAAAACCCAAATAAAAAACCAGCACACATGTGAGATAAGCTCTCACCCCTCACAGACCTGGCGCCATTAGCATCACAAACAAGCCCGAGGAACCCCAATCGCCCCCTGACTCACAGTGGTTGCACCCACGAAGCAAGCAAGGGCCAGAGTCACTGCAGCCTCGGCTCCTATCAGCCTCTGAGAGCCCTGAGGGCGGGGGTGGTGAGGGGCGAGGCCAGGCGGGACGTTACCTAACCTGTCACCCTGGGGTCGTGACGCGCGCAATGGCTCTGCGTGCCTGCAAGTGACATGGGGCTGAGTTCGCTGTGTGAGCCGTGGTGCACGGCTGGTCCCTCCTGCCCCGGGGGAACGGCGCCACGGCTCTCGGGGCAAAGCCCAGGTGACAAGCAGGTCGTACCCGCCAGCGGCCCCCGGCACCAGCAACCCCGTCCTGCTGAGACAAGGCCTGGGGAGGGGCTGCCGTGCACAGCCTGAATCGCCCCCCTCCTGGTCCTTGTTCCCTGGTCCCTGTCGTCAGCCACCCCAACTACTCGCCTATCCCTGGGTGTAAATGACAACGATGAGGTCTTTGCCTCTTAACGTCAAGGTCACTTAAAATCGGCGTCTAGTTTTCTGATTTAGTTTTTCGCCCTCGTCTCCATTTTGTCTTCTCTGCACCTTCCTGGGCTGGGCTGCCGATTAAAACCCAGACGTACAAGGAAAGTCGCGTGTGCCTTAAGAGTGAGGCCGATGACCCCCTCCCCGGGCCCCCTTCCAAACCTTTCACAGGGGCCTCTTTTCTAAATCAGGGATCTGCCTGGCCGACCGGCTCCCTCTCCCACCCGGGCCTCGGGGGCCATGCTCTGTACACAAGCCCTCGAGGCACGCCATCCTCCCCCCCAGAACAAGCGGGAGTGTGGACATCATCCCTCTTAACAAACTAACTTTCAAACCCCTCAACCACAAACGTTTAACGGTGGGACCGGCCAAGGATCAGGTCACTGGTGCCAACTCAAGGCGTCCAAGCTGTACAGGAACCTCGGGGGCCCACACCCACCCCACGACACCGGCGTACCCCTCCCACCATCCCCGTCAGGAGGGACCAGTAAGAACCCGCCCCGGAGCCCCTCAGCCCCTGGGCCGGGGAGGCTGGGGATTCAGGTCCCCACGCCCACCACGTGGGCCTTTATCCTGCACTAGGCGGTCTTTCGAGGACTTGCGAGGGACTGACCTGTGTCTACGTCACAGCTCCTGTAAGCAAGCGAGCAAGCGGGTCCCAGGCGGAGGAACCAAGGTGAGCACGGAGACGTGGCCTCAAGGTCCCCCCAAGAGCCCCCCGGCACGCAGCTGAAAGCTCCGGCCACCCGCTCACGAGGACAGACGTGCTTCCTGCTGCCTCCACCACAAGACCTTAGCAAGAGCTGGGCCCCGTCTCTATGCTCACTGCCTGTGGACGCGGGGAGTCTTGAGCCGCTCAGAGCAACAAACACTTGAGCTGCTTTCCTGAGCGGGGACGGACGCCTGACCGGAAGGCGTGTGGTTCCAACTCCAGGAGAGAAGCCCCATAGCCTTAGTTTTCAGTGGCCACTTCCAGGGCCGTTCCTCCAGCCTGTGTGCTCAGACCGACCCCGCGGGCCCGAGAGCCCCACCGCAGGGAAGCCGGGCTCGTGGGAGGCCGCCTCCCGGCCACGCGGCGTGTGCACCCGAGGCCTCCCTCCACCTCGGGGGTCTCCCTCTGGGAAAGACCACTCGGGGGGGACGCTGGGTGCAGCGTCCACGCAGGGGATGTCCACCCACAGGGACATGTCGGGGCCACTCTGCACGGGGCCAGGTCAGCGTTTACTCTTTGCCGCTCAGGGCTCCACCCTGGCGTGGCTTTAAGTGGGGACGAGCAGGGTGGCACCGAAATGTCACGCGTGGGGGTGGTGTGAAGATACACGCACATTCACGGACACGTGTTCACCGCTTTCTGGGGGAGCCTCACACCGTGACCCCAATCCTGACCAAGAAAACCGACGTCACTTTGCTCTCGTGGCCAAAACCGAAAGGCCGCGTTGACAGCTGGCCCGGGTGATGGACGCTGAGTACAAACCAGGGCCCACGAGGATCCTTTCAGGACCGAGTCCCTGGAGCTGCTGTCCCAGGAGTGGCCGCAGGTGCCCCCGGGGCCCCCGCTCGCCGCCCCACCTGACGCTCAGGTGCAGGCGGGCCTGGAGCACAGGGGCCTTCCCGCTGGTGAAAGCCCGGCTGCAGCCCCCAGCCCAGCAACAGGGCTGGACCCCGTCAGCTTGGCCACCCCAGGCCTCAGGGTCTCACAGGTCCCTGTCTGCTCGGGGGGCAATGAGGTCCCTCCCAGGGCCTCCCCTGCTCTTTCCTGAATCAAGGCCACATGCTTTCAAGTGTTCTTCTTCTGTAATCGCTCACCCTCAAAGCAGGCGAGCCCTCTGTAGGGTGTGCGGGTGGGATCCTAGAGAGGCCAGGGTCCCTCCCTCCCACCCTCAGAAGTGCTTTCAGAGGCACCGCCCCGAGTTCAGGGGCTCTTCCCTTGAGGACCACGTTGTGGGCCCTCAGCAACTTTAGGGGCTTGGTCACGGCCCAGGAGGTGCCAGGCTCACCTAACCAGACCCCTGCGCTCACGATGGGACCGGGACGGCGGTCAGGACGGGAGGAGGCCCTGCTCCCCACGCCCGCTCACCCCGGCGCCTGCAGCGAGGGCGGACTCCGCCTTTGACCCCAGGGTCCGGCCGAGGCGGGCCCGTGTCTGAGGTTGGGCGCCGGCCCTCTCGTCTGCGTTGCATCAGCAGCTCCCCCGAGGTTCCGCTGGAGTCAGGGCGGGGGTCGCAGGAGGCGCCCGTCTCCCTCCTCCAGGCCCTGCCGTGCCTCACAGCTTTCGGGCGAGAGCAGACGGCTGGGCTTGGGCCCCCGTCCCCCACGGGCTCTCCCGGCCCTGCACCCGCCGACGGCGCTCGTCTGCCCGCTGTTTTCGGGGCACACGTGTGGTCCCGGGGCCCCTCAGGCAGAGGTTCTGAGACCAGCCCAGTGCGGCTTCCTCTGGGGGACGGGTTCTCTCTGCCTTGTTCCAGGCTGGCTTTGTGTGCCCACACGGACGGACCATCCACGCAGGGCCCACGAGAGCACCGGGTGACCTCTCACCCACCAGATCACGGGGCCCCTGGCACCTTTTCCCAAAGGAAAGAGAAAAAAAATCTTTCGACGAGGTGCCTTCTGCTCTCAGTTTATAGGAAGACCTTGGGGCTCAGATTTTTACACGAATTAGCCTGACTGCAGGTGTCTCGAGGACGCCTGGTTTCCAAATCACCCTGAACGCGTCTCCATGGAGTCCAGTGCCGTGCTGGGACCCGAGCCCCGGTCCAGGGAGCCACCGGCACCTCATCGTCTGATCACTGAGCTTCCGACAAGCCTGTCACGTGCTTAAAGTGTTCTCACGAGCCAAACAGGGTGCAAGTTGCTCACTTTTAGCTGCGCGAATACATAAAACGGTTCACGCGACTAGAGAAGCGGTTCGGACACTAGGAATCGAGAAGCTGGAGCCGCGGCCGAGGCCAGGGCGGTCTCCCCTCCTAACAGGGCACGTCAGCTCCCGGGGGCGCTGTGCTCCACATGGCCAAGGCCGGCACACCCGGGCGCCCCAAGCTCTCCCTGTGTCGCCCCGTGGACAGTGTACCCGAGGGTCGACAGCCACAGGCCCCCACTGGGCAGAGCTGCGCGACCCTGCTGGCTGGCGGCAACACTGCCGGCCGCCAGGGGCCACTGAGGGCGGCAGGGGCGTCCCGCAGGACACACGCCAGGCGCGCCCCAGCTGGGCGGCTGGTGCACGCGCCCCTCCTGCCGCAGCGGGCCCACGGCGCCGGGCTGGCCGCACGCCTGCCCGCGAGCACTTACCGTCGTCCAGGTCCAGCGGGTCCAGCTCCTGAGGCTCTCGCTTGACCGTTACGGGAATGGGGGCCAGACTATGATTACTGTCCTCACGCACCTCGGGCGCTGGCAGGGGCCGGGTGGCTGCAGGCTCGCTGCTCGGAACCTCGGACGGCTGCTGCTGCTGGTGGCCCGTCCCGGGGGGGCGCGCGGGGCCGCAGGGCTGCAGGCGGGTCGGCTCTTGGGTCCCGGGCGGTAGCGGAGAGGAGGGACTGTGGGGACAGAGCGCTGGCCGGCACCCCGGGGAGCAGCTACCACTTGACGGCGGACTCACCTGTGGCTGCAGCGGGGCGGGGGGCGGCGGCTGGGGGGGCCCGGGAGGCACGCCCGCGGGTCTCGGCGCCTCCTGGCTGGCGAGGACCCCGCCGACTGGCCGCGGAAGTCCGAGGGGGCCGTGGCCCGGGCCGGCCGTGGCCGGGCCGTAGGGGGCGCAGGAGAGGTCGTGGAGCTCAGGGCTGGTGCTGCTCTGTGGACGGGGCGGGAAGCCGGGCGCGAGGCAGGAGCCCGGGTCGGGCGGCAGGGCGAGCGGCTGGCCGTAGCAGGGCTTGGGGAGCGGGCTCAGGCCCTGGCTCATTGGTCCACAGGTGAGGGCAGGCTCGTAATCATCACTGGGCTCCGTTTTTATGATCGGAACTGTGAGAAAGGAAAGAAAGCTAAATAAACACGAGCTGCAGATGCGAGCCGTGGGGCGGGCCTGTGGCTAGGATACCCTCCGAAAACAAACAGCGCTTTGACTGAGTCCCTGTGTGTCTCCTGCCTGCTTCTCCCACCCGATTAAAAGGAGGGTGTGAGTCATCGGCCCAGAAAGCTGCAGCTGGTTCTCATAGCGAGAGCACTGTTTTCCTTGGAATCTCCCCCAGCACTAATGTGCTATAAGAATCCATTCGCAAACTGCAGTAGAAGCCTTGGACCCAAGGGCCCGTGGATTTGTAGTAATCAAAGGGACATTTTTAACTTGGATGTACTACTGCATTTCTGCTGCTACTGACGCCCTATCTGATAAATGTCTGACATTTGGTGAACTTGAACAGTAAGATGGCGTTTGGAAGTCAGTAAAAATCTGACAGAAAAGATGAGTGTCCATTTGCTGTAGGAGAGAAGCCTTCAGCCACTCGACAAGGAAACCAGTTCCACACGAGCAAATACGCCACCCCTCCCTCCTGCTGCTTCGTTTCCACTAGAGACAACACACAACCAGCGATCACGCGGCTCCTGGGGCAGAGCCGGAAGCCCCCAGACGGCTTCCAGACCACTGCCCTGTCCACCCCTTGCTAGGAAGCCGGCGGTGCAGAGAACCGGGCTGGGAGGAGGGCATGATGGGCACTGGAGGGTCCCCTTCACTCCCCTCCAGGCCGTGGGCCCGACCAGGCGCCGAGAGGGCTGGGGAGAAGGTGAGCAGATGTGCCGTGGGGTCTGCACAGGGGCTGGGGCTCCACCCCCGCCCTTGCTTACTTCCTGTGTCCCGTTTTCTCATTGGTTCCTGCCTCTTACACCAGTTTGCAGGAGACGTCCCGGTGGTCAGATTATCCTGCGAGTGACTGGTAAGAGCGCAGTTAAATTCATAACAGATGCCCGGCGCTGCCGTAGCAAACGCAGGATGGGTAATGAGCTGTCATCAGATCCCCCCTAATCATATTTTCACCTCTTCGTGTGTGTGCTGCTGGATTCCCGGCGGCCGGGGCAGCCACACGGAGGGAACGCCCCTCGCAATCCCAGCCTCCTCCTTAAGTAAATAAAGATTCTCTCCCAAACGCAGCTTTGCTCTAACAAAGGTCTCAAGCCAGCAAGGATGCACATCTCTTCTGTAACAGCCGGGCGCCTGCGAATCCACAGCAGCCGTGACGAGGAAGATGGCCTCTTGCGAAGCCTGTCCGTGGGGCGCCTGGGCAGCACGGTAGCCACGTGGCTGGGACCCAGGGGACACTCCAGACCCACTGACGCAGGAGCACGTAACTCCGCTGAGCATCTCCAGGCCCTGGGCTTTCGACTCAGGATTCCCAGAGAAGCTGTTTCCTTTAGTCTTGCCCTCGTTGTGCCAACTTCCCAGCCCCTGCTTCCCGTCATTCTTCCCGCGTCTGACGTGTCTGCACGCTGGGCAGGGAGGCGCCTGGTCCCCGGGCGGCGCTGACAGCTGGAGGGCAGGGAGGAAACACGCGGGTGATGGTCATTGCGGGGCCACCACGGGAAGTATCCCTGCCGCCTGCAGGCCGAGCCACGGTCGGCCACTCGTCCCCGAAGTCACGTCAGGCCGAGAGCTGTAGGGCGCGGCGCCTCGGATGCCCAGAGCCTGGTGTGTCCAGCATTCTTGGACAGGACGCACCCAGCATGGCGGGTGTGGGCAGTGCAGGCGGGGGCGGGCGAGCCCGCGGAGGGCACACGGGGCGTCCTCACCCCGGGTGCTCCGCGGGGGTGTGGGTTTGCTTTCACCAGCCAGGCCGATGACCCACAGGGCCTGGCCTGCCCCGGTGCCCACACTCACGGTCCTTTGCTGGGGAAGGGACCTCTCTACCTCTCTCTCTCACAGCCAGCTAGGGCTCTGCGTGAGGGGTCGAGTCCCCGCAGGACTGGATTCCAGGGCAAGTGTCACTGGCTGCCGGCAGGACACCGAGAAGGGCCGCTGTCCGCCGTCTTCGGGTGGCACTGATCTCCGTGTGGCTCACACATGGGGGAGACGCCCACAGGTCCCGGCAGCAGCCGCGTGTGTCTCCCGTGGCTCCGAGGGCTTCCTCTGCAGCGGGAGTGTGAAGATTCCCCACGTGAACGTGCCCTGACGCAGGGACCGCAGGCCCCAGGGGAGGGGCGGGCACTCGGTACAGGAGCTGTTCACAGCCCAGGCCAGGCCCCCAGATTCGGCGCGCCCGTGGCCCCGTGGCCCGGCGTGAGTGCAGAAGCACTTGTGGCTTTGTGGCCCCTCAGGACCAAGGGCCTCTCCGCTCCCGACCCGCACCCCCGTGACAGCAGCTTCTGCAGCCCAGGGGTTCTTTCTTTTAAATTAATTTATTTGTTTATTAATTTTTGGCTGTGTTGGGTCTCCATTGCTGCTTGCGGGTTTTCTCTAGTTGTAGCGAGCAGGGGCCACTCTTCCTTGCAGTGTGCGGGCTTCTCATTGCGGTGGCTTCTCTTGTGGTGGAGCACGGGCTCTAGGCACGTGGGCTTCAGTAGTTGTGGCACGTGGGCTCAGTAGTTGTGGCTCACGGGCTCTAGAACGCAGGCTCAGTAGTTGTAGCGCACAGGCTTAGGTGCTCCGCAGCGTGTGGGATCCCAGGCCAGGGCTCGAACCCATATCCCCTGCATTGGCAGGCCGATTCTTAACCACTGCACCACCAGGGAAGTCCCAGCCTGGGGTTTCTGCTGCGAGCACCTACCGGCTGGGGTCCCCGCGTGGAAGCCCACCTCAAGGAGGGGCCTCTGCTGGGTCCAAGCTCTGTGTGCAGCCCGACACGGGCTCCTGCCCTGAGCTGGGCATCCCAGGGAGGCAGGCTGGGGGTAGGGGAGCGGCCTGGGGCAGCCTTGACACAGATGCACGTCCTTGCATGTAAGAGAACATGTGATGTGCCGCGTCCGCTTCCCGCTACAATGCCCAGGGTGTGAAGGTGGCCGTCAGCTCCAGCACAGGCAAGACGGCCTCTCCCAGGAGCAAGCGGCCCTGCCTCTGGTCCTACAGCCTCAGGCTCCAGGACGTGGCTCTGCAGAGCTGGGGGCAGCCTCCAACCAGAATCATCCAGAAACGGTCAGTGGGCACAGCTATCACTAAAAACAGCCCCGACAAACCCATATGACCCGGGGGGGGGGGGGATTCGAAAGCTGCCCGTGTGGCCTGTGGCGTCCAGAATGGCAAGGGTTAAGTTCTGCATCTGCGCGCTGAGGCTCAGAGCTCTCGACCTTAAGGAAATGCGTGTCTAGCAGGTCAAGTTAAAGCCCTGCTGGGTGCCTCTCTCCTGCACTGGATTTTCAGCCAGCACGAGGGCCAGCTCGACCCTTTCGTCCAGGGTCCCCCGAGCTCTTTATAAACCCTCACCCTGTCTGCTCTGCCGGCTTTGGAGGTGCAGCCGGGGAAACGGCCGTGGGCCTGATTTACATGCCACGCGGCCAGCCCAGGCCCTGCGATCCCGAGGGCAGGAGCGATCGGGCGTCTGTGCTGCCTGCCGCTTCAATGTCTGTGGTTTACGACCTGTTTAAAGCTGCCCTGTGGCACCCGCGTTCACTCCCTCTTCGCCCTGGGGGTCTTTCTGGGAAAGTCTCAGCAAGACGATCTTGGGGGGGGCCTCTGTGGGCCAGACCCGGCAGAGGGCGCGAGACGAGGGTTCAGGAAATGCATCACCTTCCCATGGCGTCGGGACCCACCGGATTATTCCCACGGTCGGGTGGAGACTCGACCCGGGCGGGACCCCTACCCACCCCAGCCTCCGGGCCTTCGCGGGCGCACGAGTCCTTGGTGACCCAGCCGAGCTAGGCCTCCTTGCTCGGCTCAGACACCCTCCCCTGCATTTGCAGCCTCTCCGCACCCGCGTGGTGGGCCGATCCCACCTCTGGAGGCCCCAGCACGAGGCCACCACTATGAACTCCCTTTGGGCACAGACTCCTGTGCACTTAACGGAGATAATCCCCACCCTGCCTGCCCTGAGGGCTCCGCACAGCCCAGGGACAGTGACCAGGACAGAGACCCCAGCGCCTCAGTGCCAGGTGGGGGCAGTTCCCGGCAGACGTGGAGCAGACGCGGGGCCCGGGGCACATGCGCCCGCTACCCCCAGGGCACCTACAGAGTCTAAACGCACCGAAAGCAGAGGGTGCCTCCCTCCTCCTCTGGGGACGAAGGGGACCTGCCTGGCCGTGGGCCCGCCTGCTGGCCACCCAGTGGGATCGGGGAGGCCTAGGCAGGTCCGGCCGCCTTTCCGGATCCCCCGCCAGACCCGCACCTCCTCGGGTGGACTATCTCCAGGTCCTCGCGGTTCACAGACGCGGCCGCACTGCCATGTCACTCACGTGGCCAAGCAGTGTGAGCCTTGCTCTGTCCGCAGGGCGCGGGGTGGCCACGTGGCCCCCAGGCACAGCTGCCCCATCTCATCCGCACACCCTCCCGATGCCTCTCAGATCGCATCCATCTGTGGAAATGGGTGCCCACGCCCACACCCTGCCCTTCACCCTGGGGTTCAGTGGATTTTGCAAATGGCTGATTCACTGGCAGATCAGACAAGGGCAGCAGAGGCCCTCGGCTCACGGCCACTCGGCCCTGGGCTGGTACCAGGACCCAGGGCAGAACTGAGGCCTGGGGTCCTCAACTCGGCCTGACCCCCAGGATCCCACGTGGACGGAGAAGCCAGGGGGCAGTGTGACACGACCCCTGCCGGGGAGCGGGGCTCACACCCTGGCCTGCCAGCCGTTACACAGAAGGACGCCGTCTCTCGTGAATCACGCCATCACCTTCCCACCGTCCCCGGGCAGACAGGTGGAGCACAGCAGCCGTCTCGGGCTCCCCTCACACCTGTGCGCCTGGGGCTCATGCCCAGACCAGGACCCTCACACGAAGCAGGAGGAGCTGGGTGCCCTCCACCACCTGAAGAGCACGGCCCAGTGGTCCGACCACAGGACGCCCATCCTCTGACCCAGGGGAGGCCAAGGCCGACTGCTTGGCA